GTTATCCAATTATTGCCCCATCTGTTTCTGTTGCATATTTGGCACAGTCTCTGTTGTTGTTTTTGTATTGACTTTTGTTTTGTCATCACAAACCTCCTCTGTCCTTTGTACTCCGACACAAAAATAAGCACTTGGACAACTGGCACATCATCATCATGATCAACAATGAAAAACAAAATGACAAAAAGAACAAGAGCTGTATTGTAAATGTTATGAACATCTGCTGGTGTGCAAATCCTTCTCATACGCTTCCCATCCACTCGCGAGTGGAGTTTGAACAAAAACCATTGCTCCTCCTGGGGGAATATGTCCTTGTTATGGTAACAGTCTCTCCACAACAGTCAAATGGCTTCGTTCGCATGGTCAGTCTTTTTCAGCATGTCCATGGCCGATGCATTTTCCCCTAAACTGGGACAGTCTAAAAACCTCCTGTGGGGGGCGGCAACTCAGCATTCCTTTCTGGTCTTCACCATCTTACTGGCGTACTTGATCGGGATCCCCCAGCGTCTCATTAGATAGACATCAAACACATAGGCCATCCCTGGCTCCAGGCCCCCGATCACAGCTGTAGTGACGGCCCGCCGAGGATTCAGCTCCTGGAAATACTTGCAGAGAACCCTCTCGGTGTCAGAGCGGGACTCTGGTCCCAGACAGGGCGCAGTCAGAGCTGATGCTCCCCCTGCCTCTGCTTCACGCTCCCCCAGCTTTCTGTGGTACACGCAGTACAGACTTCTTTCTTCTGTGCCCATCCACGCCAGAGTGACACTGTTGCAACCGCGCAACCGGTTGAAGGATTTGATCTGCAAGGTGGAGGGCAGAGATGGGAACCCTCTGCGGTGGTACGCTGAGGAGGTCTGCATTTTGACCGAGGCCATCAGACCTCCTGGTAGAGCCGGGTCTGTGGTCGTTCCTTCTCTCTCCAAGTGGATGAGATAGGACGGACCTCCCTGGAGCCAAATGTGCACTAAATCTCCCCCCACGGGCTGTGACGTCAAAACCTGGCCTTTACTGGACACGGTGGCCTTGACCTTTTCACCTCCGCTGCAGCTCTGCAAGGTGAGGAGGCCACTCTGCTGCGAGCCGCGAGGACGGAAACTGAAGAACTGCTCTGAGTTGGAGGCTCTGTCGCGGAAGTTCACCCACCTCAGCTCCCCTTCTCTCAGAGCGACGACAGCCGCCCGGGCCTCCTCGTGCGTTCGAGCAAGCGTCCCCTTGTAGGCCGCGCTGGTCCCGTTCAGCCTGTCGATCATAAAGACGTCAAAGTAATAGCGGGTGTCAGGCAGGAGCTCGGAGACGGTGCAAACGCTCTCTGTCCCCTGACACGCACACTGGAGATCAGCATATTCATCAGTGAGGGAGGAAGGTGGACTCTGGGGTTCAGGATAAGAGTCCCACTGCTGCCACCACCACTCTTTCAGAATCGGCCACACTGTCACTCTCCTCCTCTTCTCCTTCTGTTCTTCTTTCTGTTCTTTCTTTTTTCCCATGCCCTCTTGTGCGGCACAAAGACTGGGGTAGTTTCGCTGAGAGTTGACAAGGACACAGTAGTCGTAGCTCTTCTGCGTCTGCGGGAGGCTGGTTACGGAGGCACTGGGCGCCCAGCTGAGGGTGACGCTGGTCATGCCTACACCTAACGTGTGGACTCTGGGGTCAGCTGGGAGGAGAGGGAAGGCACCTGAGGGCCCCAGGCCTTCATGGAAGTACACTGTAGCTCTGGTGTTCTGCTCTTTGGAGCGCAGCCTCAGGATGTAGATGGAAGCCTGGGGAAAGGAAGGACCCCTGTAGGTGTTTACTGCATTGCCTGTGAAGCTGTGCATTTTCTCCTCAATCCCAGGAGCTCGCCACCACACCTCGGGCATACTCTTTTTGGTGCTCCCTGAGAGGAAAGAGAGATAAAATGAAAAGATGTTACTACACATCTAAATGATCAATATGTTGTTGCTCATCGCTACTCTGTTTCGATGTTTGACCTTTCGCTGTGCATCTGATGAAGAGGGAAGCTTTTGTGACTTCACAATTTGTTTGAAAACCAATCATGGTCCAATATGGAACTTACACGAGTGTGATGTGGAGACCTGTTGCCTCTGGTGCACATACACTGAGAATGGACTTTTTAGTGAAGTAGCAGATATACAGTATATTATCCAGTAGTTCAACTTTTAAAACAATACTTGTAACACCAGTTTAGAAAAAAGTTGGAGAAAGAATTGTGAATCATTGCAATCGTAATTGAACAGACAAAGCACAGAAATTCTCTCTCTGCTTTGTTTCCTGGTGTGTGAACACGGTTATACTTGTGTACAAGCACACACTGTATTTCACCTTTTATATGATTCTGGGGGTTGCGTGGCACATTAAGCTTTGCAAATTGCAAAAAAACAAGAACAACAAACAAAGCGCACCGAACCTGACTGATATAAAGAAAACCCTAACACCTCATAAATGAACAAATACATAAATACAATGTTAAATGCCACTTCAAAAATGGTTGCACATTTTTTCCATTCATACCTAAAGTCATTTTCCTTTTGAAGTACACACTCTTCACTTGAACGACGCAACCGTCAAATAAACCTGAAAAAAACCCGTCACCACTCGTGTCCACTGTTCAGCGCTTCTCGAGATGAGAAATTGCTTCTCAAATGAGACCAAATGTTACAAAATCAAAGTGAATAATTCAGGCTGGTGACGGGGACCCACGAACCCACTGTCTGAATCATTCATGTGTCATCTTATAACTTCATAACGTTATTTCACCAAGCAGAGAAGCCTTTTTAGTTAACCTGGAAAAAGTGTTCATGGAACACTCTGAGGTATATTTTCTTTTCCAGAAATCTGCACCTATTTAGCTTATTAGTTTTAAGCCTTTTTGTAATTCTCTTGCTCTATAGAATGTTTTAATTTCCTGAGTTTATTTGATTTGTTTGGTTGGCTGGTTTGCGAAGCACGAAATATTTCAGACCAAGAGCTCAATTTCATTTTCATTGTTTATTCAATGTTTTATGAGATTTTCAAATCCAAATCCAAAGCTTTATATAACATTTGTGTCAGTGTGACAATCAGATATGATCACACTCACTGTATCTGTCGTGGTTAGAGATAGCGGTTGGCATTTAGAATAAATATATAGCATTTATGGTGCTTTGAACTTAAACAAACTGCAATGTGCTGATAAGATGATAAATAAAAAGTCTTATACCTGAGTAGTTGGGACAAAGAAATTTGGAGACAATCGCAGGTTGAAAAATAAAGGCCTCAGCTGTTGTTTATTGGTCTATAAATGTTATTACAGCGGTGGTAAAGTAAAGCTATGACCTCCAGGCTGCAAACACGGGACAGATGCTAAACCCATATAAGACCTTTAATAGTTTGATCATCATATATCTACTGTTCTACAACTTCTTCCAAAAAGAAAACTCTCTTCTACAAACACAAAGTAAAGTAAGATTAGAGTCTTTGCTCTCCACTGAATCCCTATCTCTTATGATAACATCTAATTGATTGTCTTGGCTGAGCCAGATGCGGTGGTGATCTTCAGGCTGAAGCGGGTGTCTGGAGGTGCAGGTTGTGGTCTTACTGTTCACTCACACTGCAGGCTCTTGTGGGGTTTGTCCTTCAGGGTGCGGGCTGCCAAGCTCCATTCGATGGGGAGCTCACAGGGGCTGACAGTCACCGACATGGCCGGGGCCTTCTGCTTCAGTGTGAAGTATAGCCTGTGGAGAAACACCAAAGATAACCGCAGAGAAGTAGTTTGATTCATCTCAGGGAATGTCAAAAAGATAACATCCTGTTTCAATTCAGCTGCGAGGTGATGGATGAGAAGACAAGATATCTCTCCACTGCATACTGTGCAACGTTCTGTCATTTTTGTTGGATGATTTTTGCAGATACGGTGAGCTGGTTAGCATTTTCTTTTTCCAAAAGCTTGAAAATTTCACCGCGGCAGCTGTTGCCAGTCGCCGTCTTTCCATTTGCCTACATGCTGATCAGTCATTTGATAGCGGATCAGGAGAGGTGACCTGGGGATCAGACGATAAGGCCGCATTGACAGTTTCAGATGGATATCTGCCTGTTTGCTGTAACTATCTGGGATCGTGCTTTGCATCGAAACTATTGTGTCCCTTATTGTGATCAGATGTTATTGCGCGTTTGGATTACAGATTTGCATTTTAGATGGCAGTTAAAGGACATTTAACAGTCCTGCTGTGGTGGTCGGGTCTTATTTTGATTCGAATAATCACCGTTGTTAACTCACGAGTCAGTGTTGAACTGCTCTCCTCCACAAAGGACGCCTGAATAGGAAGTCTGTCTCTTTTTAACTCAAACAGTTATCTAACATGTCATTTCTTCACAGCTAGTTACCTTTCATGAAATGAATAAGCAACTGCCCGGTTCTTTGTTTGTAAACATTAGTTGTCCGTCCTTACAAACATCATTATTTATGATTCTGTGCAGATGGTGGTCGGTTTCCAAACAGATGTGCGAGACCGTCATTCTCAAGGGCGCTCTGCAGCTTATTTAATAGAGTGATTACTTTCAGTGTTTTCCCTCCATTATTTGCCGTGTGGCTCTGCATCACTGCACCGGTGGACAGACTGCAGCACAAGGGGAGATGCACTTCGCAATTTTTCAGCTCCCAGTTTCAGAAAGCAGGCGCTGGCACTGTTGTGTAGGGTTCAGGCCAAATGGGCTCCACTTCCTCTCCCTCTCGCTACAGTGGTGCTGGAATCAGCCACCGCCTCCATTAAGGTGATTGGTGGATGGCTGGTGACTTGTTATTGAAGTGGAAACAAGGGCGCATGTGATTAGCAGGCCTCAAGATTTATTCATAAGCCCTTAATGAACTGCAAACGAGGGAAAATCTTCACTTTTTATAACTGTTTAGTGCGGTCTTGAGGTTCAAAAACATCTTTGCTGTCAGTCACAGCAATGGTGGACAGTACATCAGTCATTCAGAGGGAAAATGTTCAATGTTTTACTTTTCATTTGATAACTTACTTTACTTAGATTCTGATTAATAATACAAAATATAATCAACAAGTAAACTATGATGTATTAGGATAAGATAAGATACAAATGTATCAACATTGACAGTTTTCTGAACAGACTAGATCCAACTAGACCACCTGCGTACTGCCTCTGTCCCTCTGTTCACCTACCTGCGAGTGCGTCCTTTGGGGAGAGTAACAGAGGTGATCTTTCCCTCTGGGAACCACGTCGTCGGGCGAAGTGGCACCTCGTTCTCAGGTGCCAGGGCGGAGTGCACCTGGGGCCACGGAGAGCCACAAAACAGAGCCAAAGCTGCACCGAGACACCAGGACAAGGACATGAGTGCCATCGCTGCTTCTTGCTGTCTTGTTTCTTTCGCTCTTTGACTTTCCTCAGTCACCACGTCTTGGATATCTCTCCCGGGCTCTGAGAACACATGGTGGAAAGGTCAAGGTCAAGGACATCAATCAGAGCCCATCAGCAACACACACACACACACACACACACACAGTAAAGCACTCAAACACACTTTCTACTGTACTATTCATACACTAAAGAGCTGTAGCGGCTGCTGATGATTCATTGATATGAAGAAACATCCTATCCTATTCAGACAGAATTATTCATGCAGAGGAATAGAAATTGCAATGCTATATTACTCTGGGATGTGTGTGTGCGTGTGTGTGTGTGTGTGTGCGTGTGTGTGTGCATAGCACAGTGTGAAACCCACTGTAAAAAGGATACTTTTCAAAGTGTGAAAGTGGGTTTATAATCACTCTAAAGTCATTGCCTTTACATCGACATTTCTATTTTTAGTCGGTGGAGTTCAAATGAGTCTGTTCTCCAAATATCTTTCATCGTGGGTCTCAGCAGCCATTTTATCAGGAGAAAAGTGACGCCATGCTGATGTGGAGCGAGGTGCACAAACAACACCTGGAGGTGCTCAGATGCAGTCAGATCCAATCAGCATGAAACGCCTAACAAGAGCTAGTATGGTTCTGTATCTGTATCTTCTCTATCTTTTATTCTATTTATTTCACACCCTTTTACTGTTTTTCTTTCTCCTGGTTTTTTTTCATGTGTATATTTATATATGGGTGTGTGATTGTGTGTGTGGCTGGGATTTAGTGATAGTAGATAGGATGATTACAGGTCTCACTGTTCCTCTTTCCCCCCAGAGAAAACACATTTGTTCAAAGTCACAGAGTCTTCACAAACACACTCCCCGCCTTCCTCTAACAAGGTGCATTATGTCAGTGCTGTGCCCTATAGATCAGATGACAATCACAGTGGAACCATGCATGGAGGCGGCTAGACGGTACATCTGAGTCTTTCGGGCCCCGGGACGCGCAGAGATCCAAACTCACAAACCGTCGCACAGCTACAAAGTCGCACAGAGGCGCCTGCTCATTATCCTTGCAAAGAAAGAGTGGGGAGGGAGTGAACGACCCATAAAGCTTTAACTGAGAGACATGCAGCGGGAGAGAGGCAGATTGAAATGGGAGGGGAGGGAGGGAGGGGAGGAAGGGGAGGCTGAGGAAGAGAAGGCTGTGGAAATGGAGAGCAAGAAGAGGAGGATGTTGGATCAGTAATTAGAGGGAATGAGACGGAGGAAGGAAAAGAGGAGAAAGTGCAACTGGAAAAGAGAAGATTGGAATCAGAGGGGGAGAAAAAAAACAACCCATGCAACAAGGTCGCAATGAATTTGTGACGGTGTTTTAGCCAGACACATGAAGCTGATTGGTGTTTACTTTAGCCCCCATGTCGAATGTGTCTAATGTGTCACATGTTGCCAGACGGCTGCACAACCTCACACTCCCCCTCATTCAGTCTTGATAAAAATGAAGAAAAAAAGCTTGGCGGGCTTGTTTCTTCAAAACGCAGCCGCTGATGAAATATGCATACGGCTCCTCAGCAAATTATGGCCAATTGAATTTTCATAAGGCAAAAAGGCTGGGTCTTACAGAGAGAGGGAGCTTAGTGAACTTAACCACCGCCCTCTATAAATAAATACACACTCCCCTTTAAACACAGGAGCTCATGACTTTGATGGTCCCGCTCACTCTCTGTTCTTTTTTTTTTTCCTCTTTTAGATGAGTTTCCCTCTTTCCAATATGTGTATCCCAGACTGTCGACCTACTGCATAAATACTGTTTGGGTTTTAATGAAAGATATTTCATCCCTGCTCTGTTTGTCTTTTTTCTTTCTCTCCCTCTCTGCCCTTCTTTTACTGCCTGCTTTTCACTTCGTTTGACCCCCTCATTTAGAAGTTGATGCAGGCTCAGTTTCAGAGGTACAGGTTGAGTGCTGTGTGCTATCTGTCTGCACATTGTATCCACTATCTTCTATCTCCCTGTGCTCTGGCAGGACCATCTGCCTTCTGTTATCTGTGGGCAGGGACAGATTAAATGGCATGGGGTGGTCCCTGCAGGATCCGTTGTCCCCCCCCCCAAACTACTACGAGCAAAGAACCGGCCTGCGGTTCATGGTGGGGGTTGACGAGATGATGGCAGGGAAAAATGCAATGACCATGGAACTTGATATGATTTTACGGCTGATTTTCTACCGCGCTGCATCTACATTTGAATATTTTAACCCTTCTCCTGTCTTCTTTACTTTCATTGTCCCTTTGTGCCTGCATCTCTCACACTTTGGTACAGCTTCGTGCCCTTTCTCGATGCATACTTTATGACTGCTCTTTCTCTGTGATCACTGACCCACTCCACAGTCATACTTTTCCTTTCAAATGACAAGAGAATCGTTGGTAGTCGAGAGAGAAAAGACAGACACAGTCAACAATAAAATACACATAACAGATGAGCACAGCCTTTAAAACATGCTGTCAAGATGAAAACGATCCTGCAACAAATGAAAAGTGCCCCGCATCTGTCTCAGCTTTTTTTTAAAACCCTCCATAGCCACACACACACACACACACACACACACATACACACACGCATACACACTCACACACAAAGAACTGATCCAAAGAACAAGTTGCTGACTTAAATATCCAGTTGAAAGATGAGACGCTGACACACACACACACTCATGTTCTGCAAGGACAACAACATGCATGCATCCTTACCTTCTCTCAGTGCACGCTCTCCCTCTCCTGCGCAGGAAGTGAAGGATGGGATCAAATGAGAGAGGGAGCGAGGATGGAGGAGGAGGAGGAGGAGGAGAAGGGGATGAGAGCCGGTTGCGAAGAGAGGAGGAGCGACAGCAGGTTGCTGTTGGGTGTTCTTCTGACTCCGTCTCCCATGGGGTGCTGCTCACTCCCGACTTCAGGAGGTGTCTCCTCAGGGCTCAGGTGTCCCTTCGGGGCTGTCCCAGCACTGGTGCGGTGCAAGGCTCCCCAGATACTCCCCTCACTCTCTGTCTGTCAGTCCTTCACACGTGGAGGCTTGTCCTGCTAAACACTGTGTGAATGTCATCCGGTCACTGGAGCCTGTGTCCCTCTCTTCTCTTCTCTTCTAGTTTTCCTTCCGTCACTGTTTTTTCCACCTCCTTTTCTTTTCACTTGTTCTCTCTGTTTACCTCCTCTGGTGGTTTTTCAGAGCTCACTTGCAATTCAAATGGGCTCATGTGTGTGTGTGTGTGTGTGTTTGTGTATCTGTATGTGCAATCTGAGAGTGAGGGAGTGAGTGGGTGAGTGTGAGGGGGCTGGCGGTGAGGTCGCTGAATGGGGGTGGTGATGAGGAGAGAGAGAGAGAGAGAGAGAGGGAGATGTGATGAGAGAGAGAGAGAGAGAGAGAGAGAGAGAGAGGGAGGTAGAGAGAGAGTTGTCAAGAGCAGTATAGGGAAAGGGGAGGTGATGTAAAAGTTAAATAGCCTACATTAACCATTCTCTGGCTGATAACTTCTGCAGGAGAGGGCTTCAGACAGCATGTTGGAGGTTACACTGTCCTTGTGCCCTTATCGATTGTTCAATCAGGTGCTTAGACTGTTTATGTGGAAGGACAGCCTATCAGAGGCTTAATGGATTTATGCAAATATGTATTGTGCTTGAATTAAAAACGACACAAAGTCAAATAAAAAGAGTCAAATTGAACTTTCTACATGTTTCAAACAGCGCTGCGGCAACATAAAACATATTTTAGCCTTCATCTTTTTCCATTTAATGAATACATTAGAAAATAATTTTAAAAAGTATGTAGATAACAAATAAAAAAAAAGTAAAAGAGGATGCTCAATCATCATTACATAGTTGGATACTAATGATTTGATGACTTATCTCATATCATTTTTTATAGTGCGTCATGCTACTCAGAGCTCAAATATAAATTTAGCTACAAATTTGAGCCACATTAAAAATGTATTTGTCAAATGTGAGTAACATCTCTTTGGGATTTCAGTGGATTTTACGGTGCATGTAGTGTTGAATAAATTTAGGGATCAGGTCTTCAAGTTTACAAAAATTTGAGTACATTGCAGCAAAATGCTATACTTACATATCACCATACATAATTTGATAAAAAACTAAACACTAAACTAGAATACATAATTCTCATTTACTATTCATGTTTACCTGCTTGCATACAATGTTAATTACATCCTAAAGCCATACTTAAACTAAGTTTAAATAGTTAAATTCTTCTGCAAAATTCTGCAAAAGGATCAATACTGTACATCTCTCACATCTGTACTGTGAAGCTGGAGCCAGATAATGCTATAGCTTAGCTTAGCATGTAGACCAGAAACAGGCATAAACAGTTAGCCTGTCTCTGTCTTAATGTAACAAAATCCACCACTAATTACCACATAATCTCTTGTTTGTTTAATCACTACAAAACCAAAGTAGAGTAAAAATATCTGGGGGTTATGCGCGAGACAATTTCTTGGCAGGTTGTGAGAGTGCCATGCTAGTTGTTTCTGTACATAGGAGAAGTTTGCCTTCAGGGCTTTTTGTCAGAAAGAGTTTATTTTGACTGAAACCATGATGCTTTCCTCAACCTAATGATAGATTTAATGCGTAAACCTACGGAGAGTTCTGCTCCCATGTGCGTTGTTTCCCCCTGTTTCTAGTCTTTGAGCTGGTTAGCTTAGCTTAGCTAATAGCTTATTTGCTGTACAGACGATCCCTTTAAACAATACATCTCCTCACTTTCTCTCTCTCTGCATATTTTATTGTATCTAAGTCTTGTCTTGATTTCATACTAGCATTTGCTAGTCTGCTTTGTAGATTGTATTTTCTGCCTGAGGCTAGGTTTCAGAGTGCATCTTAAAGACTGTAGAGTTGAAATAAAAACATCTGTGCATCTGCATGTTATAGTGAGGGCACAATGTATTGAACTGGACAAAGACTACCTATAAAGTCCGTATATGCACATCCATATCGAAGGCTTGAGGTCCTCCACCTATAGGCCGAGTGTAGACCTCAGAGGATTGGGAGCATTCATATCAGTAGCTCTCCAACCCCAGCAGCCCTCTCATCTCCACACAATGGCGGGCCTCATGTACGGCTCTCGGTCTCTCCTGAGCTCTTTAATCAATATCATTAGGAAAATAGAAAGAGGCTCGCCACATTGTGTGCTAACTCCCCCCCTCTCCCATTCTGGGATGGGGCCTTTTCTCACTCATTCAGCAGGTACTTCAGTGTAGGACTATTGAGGTCGCTCTGAATGGGACCCACTCCACCCTGAGGGAATATTGTCTGACCGGAGGTTAAAATCGGATAGACCCCCTCGCTCCCTTCCTCTCTTTCTCTGTCCTCAACATTACTTCAAAGAAGAGTAAAAAAAATGTGGCACATGAGCGCTATTAATAACTGTATCACAACTGGTATATATATATATATATATATATATTTTGAGTGAGGACCCTTTGCTGGACTCTCTTTCAAAGCCACCAGTCTGTATCCCTCTCCGTTCACTGGCCCACTTTGCAGTCCCTAAGAAGTTCTGAAAGTCGGCAATCTGGCAGAGAATGATACGGCGGCTGCTTTTGAAGATTGGATGGTGATTAACCTTCGAGAGATTACTGCACACGTACAACTTTGTGTATGAGCTGCGTTCTAACAACTTTTATCCAGTTTTTCTTGTGATTTGAGAAACATATTGTAGTCAGACTTCGGACATCTGTCGGACATCTGTCGGACATCTGTCAGACCTGGAATGGATGCACAAGCTTGGGTGACACACACTCACAAGCTCTCACACACTTCCTCTTTCTCTCTGTTTCACCGCCATCGTGACTGGCCTGAATATTTCTTTTGATCCGCACAGCTCCTCTCCTCTTGTGTTGCCGTTTAAATAATTGATCGACATACAGTCGCCGGACAAACTCCATACGCAGATAAAGAGAGCGACAGAAAGTGAGAGTTAAAATTTCATTTGGCATAATTGCAAGAAAAGAAACTGCAAAACTGGCCTTTTCATCTATTATGGATGTCTGCTTACAAGCCATGCATAATGCAAGCGGGGCCTTCTTTATGACAACCATGTATTAAATATCATGTTCTTGGGGTCGGGGGGGTCTCGGGCTGCGTGCTTTCACTGCCACAGTTAGTAGGCTTTAGCACTGAGTAATAGCTTACATGGACAGTGGTGTACAAGCAAAGAGAGAAAGGGTGACTGACAGTGAGAGGAAGCGATAATGAGAAATTGACAGAGTGAGATGAGATGAAAGGGGGGGACATGAGGGAGGGTGTGCTAGCTGATAACGGGTTAACAGGAATCCTTATTTTTAACAACATGTCATCACCAGTCGCCCATCTGCTCCTGTGCTGTCAGAGTCCCTTGGGCAGGGAGGGAGAGAGAGAGAGAGAGAGAGAGAGAGAGAGAGAGAGAGAGAGAGAGAATGATGCAAGCCAGCCATCACAGATCAGATCTCTGATCAGCACCAAAAGGAGGAGGAGGGGAGAGAACAAGGTTAGAGAGGTGGGTGGCACACAGATATGTCTCTGCTCTAATATCCAAATGGGGTGTGACATGTGAGGAGGTGAACGGTGTGTGCGTGTGTGTGTGTGTGTGTGTGTGACAGGAAGGCACGGTAGGATTAGATGGATCAATCTACAACTGCCCTCCCTGTGTTTGGATGGGGGGATGGAAGGAGGTGGAGATGGTGGTCCAGAGGTAATGAGAGGGAATCTATTAGCACATGGAGGGGGGTATGAAGACACACAAAGAAAGGAGGAGGAGGTGGTGTGTATAGACTATGCTGGACCTCCAGGGGTGGCCCCAACAGCTCGTTTTATTTATTTTTTGGGATAAAGGAAGTAGTTCCTTGGGGAAGAAAGGAGCGATTGAGGAGAGATGTTAGCTGGTGGAGGTAGCGGGGGCACAGACTTTGTATTTTTACACAGAGGAGGGACAGCACCAACAGCTTGCCGTTCCGCAGGTCACTCATCATTAGCAAATAAAGTTCCACGTCAGTTAATCTCTCTGCTTTCACTCTTTCTTCTCGCCTTGTTTTTCTCCCAGTGTAGACTTGTTTTCCCTCCCTATGCCAAGACGAACTGCAGCCCTCCAGTGGTGCACTGCACTTCATCAAAAGTTTTTGAGTGAAAATCCGATGGAATGAAAACATCTTGTTTTGATATTCATGATGATGCACTTTCTTTCTGCACGACATGTAGAGCAAGCAGTCCTCGGTCCTCGTTTGCCTTGCGTCTGCACTTGATCTGCATCTCACATCGAGTACTAAAAAACCCCCCCCCCCCCCCCCTTTCTTCATCTTCTTTTCCAATGTCTTTCTCTCTCACTCCCCGTCATCCTTCAGGCATGGTAAATGTGAAGGCTAATTAGTCCAGAGAAACCAGTCACACCAAAGAAACCACCGCAGGCCACACAAGCACATTGATCTTGTAGCACCAACACAAGTAAAACACACATTCCCACACGAAACAGAGGAAAACAAACAAGATGCAACAAGAGTTTTTAGAGCAGCATGTATTATAGATGGTACGTATGAACAGAAAGTCAGTCAACATGCAATTCTGTTTTTTTTTTTTACCTTGACAGAGGTCAAGTGTTTATTCCGCATCCTGCTCAGTGATGCTATTTACAGAGTTGACTGTAAAGGAAATGTTTTGCAGCATCAAAACCTTTTTTCTCGCAGTTCCTCTTCTCCTCAGTTCCTCGCGCTTTCTCAGCCATCCCTTCCCCCCTCTCACTCTCCGTTCTCAGTCTTTCCCTCATTTCTGATCCATTTTTTATGCATTACTCCATTACTCTCAACTCCCATTTACAATACATTACCTCCCATCTTTCACAAACACACTTTATACTTCTTCCTCCTTCCTTCAGTCACATTGCTTCCCTCCTTCCCTCCCTCTCTCTCCTCCAGTGCATTATGACACTTTCCTCTACTTCTCCCCTTCACCCCCTTTATGATCCCTTTGTCTCTTCTCTGGTCACGTCATTCCATACGAAGCGATTCTTCTCCCCTTTATCTTCATTTCCCATCTTGTCATTCAGTGAACATCACGCTGTCATCCTGACTTCTAATTGGTTATTCAAAGCATGCCATGTAATTACTCAATATTGCCAATCGTCTCTGCTCTTTTACAATACAAATATACAAATGTCAGCTAATGTAATTAACAAGACTGGCGGTCTGTTCGTCCAGACATTTATTTACACACACGAATGCACACACAACCAGCAGATGTTCAAATTTGATGAGGTTATAAATCACCGTGTTACGAGCCGCAAGACTGGCGTGAAACAGATGCGAGAGCAGTGTGTAGAGATGCTATCCAGTAGCTTTTAAATCAGGTAACTGTAACGATGTTGTCTTCAGCAAGTTCTTTACAGTTTAAAAGACATGCAGGAAGGAGTTCATGGCCGTTTTTCATGTCAAAGGTAGTTCTCTTTGATTGTGGGACACAGCTTGCGGGAGCCCATTCTCATTGCTGTGAATACAACAAACAAAAGAACATATCATTTCGGTTTGGTAGAGACAAACTAAGAATGCTGTTGACAATTGGCTTATGTACTTATAATAACAATAATCTGCTTCTCGAAAGGCCTAAAAAATGTATGGATGTGCAACACTAAATTGCTGGCTGAATGAATGAGTGTAATCAACATACAGGAAATGATTTTTCTAAGCAGATGGTTCATGACTTAGACCTAAAGAGTAAAACTTGAAGCAAAATGTATGGAAGAACATGCACCATAAAGAATCCGTCTTCTTTAACAGCATGAAACGCAGTAGACTACTTTTAATCGGTAAAAGATATACAGTAAAAAGGGGCTTTAAGTAAGCTATAACCTTCATCTACTTCATCTGTCACCATGAGGAATTAGAATAACATTGGGCAAAAGTTTTGACTCACACATAAATTGGTAGAACCAGGCCTCGGAGCGATCCACCAGACAGGTTGTCCACTCTCGCAAGGTCACCTTCCTGTTCCTGTTACGGTCACATGACCTGCAAACACAACACAGTACAACACGTGGCATGCATTCACGCTCTCATTGCCCCTTGTACATGCTACGTGCTTACACAACATGACAGATGCACATGGAGATGGTATAAAGTGTATGGAAACAACTGCATTGGGGCTCTTCAACAGCCATTGTCTTTCAGTTCACCCTGCAGCGTTATCTCTGAAGGGTACTCCTTCAATTTGTGTTAATCCATGGGCAGCGGTAGACACAGTGGGTAATAAACATTATCATTGCTGGGAATGGCTTGACATTGACACAGCCAGCCCTACTCCCACAAAACCTGTCACTGCAGACTGGCAGGGAAAAGGGGGGGGGGTTGGGAGAGCGGATGGTAGAGAAGGGGGAGAGATGGAAGCATGAAAGAATGAGTGAAAATGAAGAAAGGATTGACAGAGAAGGAAGCAGAGGATAAGTGTATTTGAAGATGAAAGTAGGAAGCACTGAAGGGGGAAAGAAGTGCTCCAACATGGAGGAGGAGTAAGATGATCGAGAGATGGTGTGGTCATGAGATTGGAGGGGAGGAGGACACAGGAAGCGGGTGTTGGCATGGAGGACGAATGGATAGATAGATGGCGTGCAGGGAGAACAGCATGGTGGGAGGTGCAACTTGGTCACAGAGCGGGGGCGAAATGCATCACCGTGTGACATTTTTAACCCTTGGTGTTTCAGTAATTAGCAGGAAAGTAACATATTGCAAGAGACAGAAGGTTCACATTATGAACATTTGTGTGACATGAGGTGATGGTGACATGAACACGGGGAGCAACACTGCCCTAACGTTATTGACTACTCAGTCACCTTATGGTATAGGATTATCATTTTACCTACCTATCAAATAGGCCATGTGAACATTGTTTTTTTTTTCATCTCCCATGCTATTGGCTTCCTGAAAATACATGCAACACTAAAAATGTATCATTAGTTGATATGTGAATGCTATGTGCTTCTGACTTTTCAGAAAAAAACATGCCAATATTCAATTAGTTCAAAGTTTAGCCAACTAAGTCAATCATCTTATAAGTTGCACTTGTCAAAGCTAAATTCTTAGAGTTGTTCGCTGCTGGAGGAGGGACTGACTGAAAGAATGGTGAAGCACAATGCTCCAGTGGCATCCTCTTGTAACGCAGCTTCGTCAGGTCCCTGCGGCTCAACTTCCCATCGTTGTTCTTATCCAGTATGGTGAATCTTTGCTAAGGAAAGAGAATGAGAGAGATAAAAACTAATGGTGGAAATAAGTCTGCTTATTAGAATTTATACGGTAATAGATGAAATAAATATGCTTTGCCAGGCAATGTCGGTCTGCAGCTATTGGATGGATTGCCATGAAATTTCACATTCAAGGTCTTGATGAATGTTAATTATTTTTGTGATCCCATGACGTTTCATGCAATGCCACCATCATCAGCATGTTAGCATTGTCATTGTGTGCATGTTCGAATGCATTTACATTGAGAGCTAATTTCTGTCCGTGCCAGAGTTAATGAATACAATCTTAAATTAAGCCACAATGCACACAATGCTAGAGATGTATGAAGTACCACAAACATTTTTTTATTTCAAAAAGGTTGTAATGTAGAGGAAGTCAAGGTGGCTGGACGTGAGAATGTTAAGTTATCCCTTCATGCATCATCTTATTGAATAATTTAGTGACTATTGACCAAATCCTATTTATAAATGGTGTTCATGAAAGCCCCTGTCTCATTCTGTTGAAGACCACACCACAAGCAACACAAGAACTCGCCACTTCCAGTTGGTTGTTAGCATTGATTTCTTGCTGGACAGTGTCTAGTATGAAAAAACAACTGTATGTTCAGTATCTGGTTACACTGGGAGTGAAAGTGATCTCATATTCTTCTTCTGGCTATAGTTTCTTTAGTATTACATTTTGTCATGGATTTCATTTGCATCATCATAAATCATATTTAGTTTGTTACGATCATCTTCTCCCCTTCAGAGCATGTTTAGTGTTTGTGAGTGTGATGCTTGGGCTCACTTTAAACGGGACCTATTGTGCTCTTTTTCGGGTGCATATTTTGTATCTCAAGTTACTGTTACAACATGTTTACATGCTCAAAAAACACCTTGTTTTTCCGATCCTGGCTGTCCTGCTGCACCTCTTCTTACCCTGAAACGGTCTGTCCGAGCACCTGTTCCTCCCTCCAGAAAGGCTTAGTCTGCCCTGATTGGTCAGCTAGCCCACTCTGTTGTGATTGGTCAACCACGTAACGCAAAGACATTCACAATGTCTTGAGATTTTGGTGACCAAATTGGAAGGGGATCTGTTCAATGCTCTTGGAGGAGTTTCCAAAAGTTCCATACCTTAAATCTACAATCACATGTTTCAATGACTCTCCATACAGGCGATACCGGCCTCTCGCCTACTGTAACTTTGTCAGCTGTTACTTTTTAGGACGGCACATGAGGGTCGCCATCCCGTCGTGTATTGTATTTCGGAAACGTAGGGATTTTCGTGATCCGGCTGGTCAGAATGTTGGCTTCAGGCTGCTCCTTGACTGAAGCGGGACGCATGGCGGACAATCACTTCCTCCTTTGAGGGTCTCTCACACTGGGACGACAGGTCCTTGGAGATGGGGATTGTCTGCAACTCCACAACAAATGGAGTTGGGTCCTCAAACACCTCCTCAAATACGAGCCTCATCAATGCTAAATTGTAAATGCTATGTAAAAACATAGCATTTAAACAGTATTTTTTTGGTTTTAAACCAAGTATGCTTGGTGACATTGAGATTGGGCCTAAAGCTGACGAGCAAAGCCATTTGAACACAAGAACGTTAGCTACCAACTTATTCGATGCCTGACACCTAAACATGTCCAACATTGCCCAAGCTGCTATTGTCCTAGTTCGGATGTATCGGTTGAGAGGCAATTTCTGGTCTTTTCGCTATAATTTTCTTTGATATGTAAAAATTAATATTACTTACACTTCGATGGTGATCGCCAAAGAAAATAGACCAGTAATGCATTATAAATTAAGCTTAGCCACTTGTCCTTCAGGTCATCTTTCTTTGGTGGTCCATACAAAGAACATTTCCTTTCGCAGAGCTGAACACAGCATCTTCTGGACACGACGGCCGCAAACCAAACTCTTTGGACTGAGCTCCAGCTCCCGTCTCTCTGGCTTGGTTGCCAAACTAGCCGGTAGGAGGTATTATGCAAATATGTTACATAGTGACTCACTACGTTACGGAAGTAAAGACAGAATTCATTTGAGCCCTTTCAGGCGGCTCAGGAGCAGTGTTTCTGAGGAGGAGAGTAACCCCCTTTTGGGCGTGGATGTCAGTTTAACAACTCTACGGACCTTCTACATGTACAACAAAATATATAACACACTAAAGTAAAGGGAAAAAGACAAAAAGCATTTAGCTTTAAGCGTAAAGTTTCAGCTACCTGTGCTAGTTGTGTCCTCTGGGCGTGGCTGAGGCAGCTCTGGGGCGGAGCAGCAGGTGCGTAGGACACTCCCATACGACTCAGGAGCAGAAACCAGTCCAGGAGGCGATATGGAAACTGGTTTAACTCCTCCTCAGTGCATCTAGCCTTTGGGACTGATCAAGAAGGATAACAGAGCTACTTTGGCAGGCTGCAGTACACAGTGGAAATTGTGGGTAATATCTAATACTATGTGTGTGTGTGTGTGTGTGTGTGTGTGTGTTTACCCAGACAGGTTCCTGTGTGAGCCAGTCAGGTGCAGCGTCTCTTTCTGCAGGCTTCTTTATGCAGCAAACACTCATTTCCGTAGGTTTTTCCCAGAACACTGCACACTGGTGCCCTCTGCCTGATCACATGAGCCAGTGCTTACATACAAAACTGTATTGTGAGGTGCACAGCTGGATTAAATAAACCGCTCTACTTTACGATTTCATCCCAAAATCAACGTATTTTTGTTTCATATAAGTTTCACTAACAAATCCAAATTCTGTGAAAAAGCAACTTACAAATAAAGGATACATTTGAGTAAATTTGCTGGTCAAGTAAAGAAAATTGTGATGTGTTTACCGTGGACAGGACTGAGGACAAACACAGTTGGGGACGAGGACTCCATTTTCCTGAACTACCTGGCACCAAGATCCCACTGGACTGTGGCATTTCAGCAGCTCACAAAGCTTTTCTGAAATTATATAAAATATTTGCTGCAGCCGCATGACGCTATCTTCTGGACGTTGGAAAAAGAACAAATACCCTAAAACAGAAATCTATAAGAGATATATGCAGGCAGAAAATGGCATTCCTCCACTGTATTGTACATTAAAGTCTCACCTGGCTCTACTCTGCCAATATATGGCCTCAGTCTTTCCTCAGCTTGTCTCTGTCTGCGCTGAGCTCTGCCTCCCTGAGACACACACACGCACACACACACACACACACACACACACACACACACACACACACGCACAGGTTTCCTATCATGTTCTAGGTACAGCTGGAGGAATCAAGGTTTTCTTTTCATGTCATTCCACAAGCATGCACTAAACTCAAGTATAAACTTGTCATTAACAAGTAAAACTTTCCTTAAACTTTGGATCAAGAGCCAAAATGATGTGTCCTCACATGCCAATGATTTATGTTTTCATTGGTGTGATGCATCACAGGTGAAGAGGCTTATTATCTAATCTAAGCAATAAAAAAAATGTGTACTGTAAATGATTAAAAAAACAAAACATCAAATGAAACCACAATGAAATGGTATGCTTTCTATATCATATCCATTTTCCTTCATACGCCCCAAATCAAAACTTTTTTCCAAAAACTTTGTAGTCGGCGCCAGGACCACATCTGCCCCCAATGTCCTCCCAGATGAGATGGGGAAACAGGTGCAATGCTGACCCAAAATACTGGAGCCACGCTTCAATAGGTCATGAGATGCTATTTAATAAACACCTATCACAAAACATTCCTGAAGACGACGAACAAACATCCAAAAATATCCATGTGATCTGCTTATGAAACTATCTCAGGTCATCATGTCTATTAAGCTTTGTGTCAGTAAGTTCGACTTACCATGGTTGCACAAGAGTGAAGACTCAGGAGAAGAAACAAGGCACAGGTCGATAGGTTCATGGCTGAAACATCCAGGGGGCTATAGGAGGAAAATATTAGCTTAACTCACACTGATCACGCAGACATAGCTGTGGTTGATGTCTCTGTAGAACGCATACAAGACTGAAAGAGACAAATTATACATATTAGTATCTATTTCCAGCAGCATCCCACATCTAGCTTTACATTTCTTGATATCAATTACATCTGAGTTAATAATGCTCCATTATTAGATGCATTTCTTCCCATCTTTCTTTTGTGGTGTCATTTACAGGCTTTTACTCCATTTCCAGTCATTCAGATAATGCAGCGGGAAGCAATGCAGCTCATTGAGTCTCAAGAAAACAATCATTTTCCATCACAGAGGAAACAGAGGGTAGAGTTACACTGAGAGGACAATTCAGTCGAGGAAGTTATTATCGTCTAACAAGTCATTCTATATCCCCTGGCTGCTTGAAAAAACAACATCTTACCTGGGCCTCTGTCACTCCTTTCTTCTCTTGTTATTCCCTTGTTAGTGTTCTCCTTCTTTTCCTTGTTGCCAGATATATTTGTCTCCGTCTCACCGGCTCCTGTGAGGGTGTATTCCTTTTGTACAGCCCTCTTCAGCAGTCTTTTCTTTTTCTTTTCATTTGTTCATTTGCACCCCTCCGCTCTGCTTTCCCCCCGTCTGTCTGACTTTCCTCCCTTCGCATTGGCTCCTTGTTGATTGCGGCTGAGTGAGTGCACAGGTATCTGAACTCAGCGTTACTTGAAGACATTGTGCAGTTGGATGTTGCTCAGGTATGGGAAAAGTACATAGAGCTGTGCTTGCTGAGAGGGGGGGGGGGGGGGGGGGGGGGGGGGGTGGTTTTGATTGAAGTTGGCATTACTCTCATTTACTAGCCATAGGCAACATATGGTCACACACACTTCTTCTGTTTCTCACATTCAAGCCCTCTTCATATTTCAGACACATGCAAACACACGCAAAGGGAAAAGGAAATAAGGAAGGACACCTCTGAAAATATGAACTTTCAAAGGCAATACTATGGAAAAGGCTGCACTCTAGTGGTTATGTTGATCAATGACATTTTCACCGTATGACTGGTCCAACTTCTGTGAGCGTATACAGGTAAAATCACAACATGCATTTTAAAGCAACCAAGTCATCTGTCAGTCGTTGTTGTTGTTGTTGTTGTTGTTGTTGTTGTTGTTGTTGTTTTCCTCCTTGAAGGAAGGCCATCAGTTAAAGTAGTTTTTCTTAACTCACTAAACCATGTTTTAGACATTGTCCCTGAGTAAGATCCTCTCATAGTACGGAAGGAACATTAAACATTAAATTGAGGAGAAAATATGAAAGATATAACATGAATTAGTAAAACATAAAAAAGTAGTACAAGTAATATAGGCTATCCTTGAAAAAAAAAACATCTGCTATTAGGCGATCATGTTGTAATCAGAAAATATGAAGACCTCAGAGAATGATACTAAGAATAATACATTGCACAACCACTGTTGCTGCTACAACCAGAGGTGAAATAAGTAATGAAATGCTTAATGTAAGTAAGAGCAGCAATACACCAATGTAGAAATACAGTATTTCTACACTGTATACTGCATGCAAATGTATTGTATGTGTTGTATGTATATTGTATGATAATTATACCATAATGTGTACTTATTGTTGCAAATGGTAAAAGAGGGGTTGATTTGAATTACTCTGTAGTTACTGCTGGGAAGTGTGTGAATCAGAATTCAGATTAATAATACAAATTATAATCAACAGATACATTCTGATA